GAGCCGGTATCCTGCATGTTTTAGTTTGAACTGTTTCAACACACCTGATTTCAATCAGCAGCTAATTAACAGGCTTCTGCAGAGCCTGATGAGCTGCTGCACAGGTGTTCCAACCACTGAATCAAGTCTGTTGGAGCAGAAAAACCACAAAACCTGCTGGATACCGGCTCGCCAGGACAGGATTGGGGATCCCTGGTCTAGAGGCTCCTGCTGCAAGACTATATTGGGTTGTCTTCTGGCTGGCTGGTTTCTAGTTCATCGTTCTGTGACGGCTAGGGCTGTAGCGAAGCCTCGACGAAGTCGACGGCTCGATTCTAAAAATTTGTCGACGTCAGATCCGGTAGTCGACGCACCGCGCCCACTTGTTACATCCCCAGGAGTTTGTAAATAGAGGAGGAATCTGCCTGTTTTTCCTCTAGTTCGCCCTCTTCTCCGCCTTCACTAACATCTCCGCCAAATACCGAAGACCCGGAACAACGTCCGTCCACTACTAGATTATTTTCCTGTTTTGCCCTTTCGTCTCCCGGCAACGGACAACAACTTCCGGGGTCAGATGCGCTGCTTCGTCTCTACCGCAGATGTAGAAAATCACCGGGAGCGCTTCTCCCTTCATAAAGGAGCTTCTTTCAGACATTAGGAGAGCTGTTTTGGTGGTAGCAGTCTCTCCTCCGTGCTGGTCTGTTTGCTGCTGGGTGTTTTTGATTTATTTAAACTTGGTAACTTGAACTTAATGTTGGTAAAGCTACTGTTAGCATCTTCGCTAACAGCTTCTTGCGTTGCAATAAGCTGTTACATTTTGGTTTAGAGTTCATCTTTTTTGTGGTGTAGATCTCCCTTTTATTACATTTAGAGTGTTGTGGGTTTTCGGTTTAGTGTAAAACATCACCTGAGTTTGGTTTAACCCGTAAGACCACTCGCCTCACGCACATAAGTGACCAAAACAAAGCAGCATGGAGACACTCCATCTTCTACCACCTCTCAGGCAGCAGCCTGCACTCCCAAGTTCTACACGTCACCAGAACATAACCAACCAACACAATAAACGCAGTGTTATACAAAATGGAAGGCCTGTAGTGTTTATTCTCTTACAGTAAGAATTTATCAATTTTTTTGAGGAATTTATTTGAGATTTTCTGGTTTTTGTTAATTGTGCAATAGAAAAATAATCATTAGATTAATTTTCTAAATAGAATAGTCGACTATTCGATAAAATAATCGTCAGAATAATCGTTTTAAAAATAATCGTTTACCCCCAGCCCTAGTGACGGCGTTGATGTTGACAGCCATTCCGCCGCATTTCCCACCGCATCTTCCACCACGTCTTCGGGCCGTGTCTCCTCCGGGTCTGGCTCGGGCCCGGCCTCTGGCTCTGCTGACTTGAGCAGGTTCACAGCTGTCGAACGGCTGCCTGAGCAGCCCGACAGAAACTTCTGTAAAGCCGCTGTCGGTACAGGATCGGCTCGGGGTCCTTCGACTGCCAATGACGTCACATAACTGCAAATCTACTTGGTTTTCACACACACGTTTTGGAAAGACATCAGCAGTTTTGTTAATAAATTCTTGTTTGTTAACACCTAAATGTTTTCTTTATAACTGCAATTTGTTAATAAAACACCACATTATCTTTGTTTTGTAAAGAATGTGAAACTGCATAAAACCAACATCGGACTGACAAAAAATAGAACAGTTCTTATATGTGAAGCCACATCTGTTTGTATTCATGTGGAGTTCGTCTGTATATTTCCTTAGTTGTTATCTAAATACATTCTTTGACTCAAAATATTGCTTGGTGTCTTTCAATAAAGTTATTATATTTTATTTTTCCCCATTTCATCAACATCAAGAGCTTTTGAGGGTCACCGTTTATCATTTGCTTATATTTTACATTTCCTTTAGAAATTCAAACATATTTTCTCCAAAAAGTGTTGATTTTTGGACTACAGGACTACAACCGCTAAGACTACGACCGCAAATGTGTTCTGACCAATCAAAATCATGACGTAATAACGTCACTTCCGTAAGCTTCATCTTCAGCCAATCAACTACTTTGATGTCATCGGCAGTCGAAGGACCCGAGCAGATCCTGTACCGACACCGCCCCCTGTCTCTTCTTTTGTTCCTCTTCATTTTTTTCTTTTTACGTTTTGCCGCACCTGAAAGCATCGTGAAAGTTAGCCTACCCAAAAACACCTGCTAGCTTTGTTGTGTCCCGCTCTGTCTCTGACCACTTCTCTGACATCCTTAATTGGGTGGAGCCCAAGTTGTAAGCTAGTCATGGGCTGGTGTTAATGTGACGTAGCTAATGTCTATGGTTAAGATAAACATTGTCACTATTTTTAGTTAATTAATAAATATTGAAATAAACTGTAGATAGGAGTCCTATCATTGGACATTTGTACATTTAATTTTTATTTATTTATTTTTAATTTTGTCCCTCTGTCTGGGCCCCATCCAGCCAATCAGGCCCTTGGCGCGTGCCGACTTTGCCTTTGCGTTCATCCGGCTCTGGGTATAGGTGGGCGTCTCTACCTGCTTCATGGCTGCTAGCTGTTTACTCTGCCGATGGCTACTACAAAGGCTAGAAGTTTTATTTATTTATTTATTTTTGTTTACTGATTGTCAGTAAAAAGCACAAGAAGAAAAATGTTTCTTTTTTTGTTGGCATCATGGCCAAGCCTGGAAGTAAATGCGAGAATTAAATGTCTTTGGAGGCTAAGCAAAACGCTAAAAGTGGTGCTTAAAGATGCTATGCTATCACGGACTGATGGTTACATGGCTTTGTTAAGTAACAATGAGCAGTGTAGATCTTTGGTTACGTTAATGTCAGTTGGCCTTAGCTTGTTGTTAGCGCTAGCAGACAGTGGCAGGGTTATAGTCATGACTGTTTTAATTCTACTTTTAGCCAGTAGAATGGAGAAGCAGGAAGCTGTTGTGCGTTGCTTTAAGTTGTTCATCTGGTGAACAATCTGGCCTTTTTGAGAGTACATGTGGGCATTTTCTGTTATTCTTAAAGAAGGCCTTTAGTTTTCTGAGCAATGGTGAGAAACTGTGCTGACAAACAAAAACCTTCCACAACACATGCCCCAACCTCGACCTACTTTTATTTGACAACCGAAGAATTTGTGGAAATTGACAGAATCTGTGTTGTTGGATTTCGGGTCTTTGGATCATTGAAGTACACTTTTTGGTTTGTGCAGCAAACATTTACTGTAAGCAAGGGAAACAAAAACCCCATTTAGATGAAAACCTTCAACTGGTGATGTTTTGGATACTAAAACTGGAAACTGGATGTCGTCCAAAAGCAGGACCATCTTCATAAAAAAACATAATGGACCCAGATCAAATCTGACTGTGGACTGTGTCAGGTTTCCCCATCATGTGATTTCTTATTTCCAATTTAGAGTTTCACTGACACATAAAATAACGTCTTTTTTTTAAATGAAGACAAAAGCCTCTCATATTTAGGTACATATATTGTTGTTCTACCTGCAGTACTTGGTTTTACTACTCAGAAAACAACATCAGCATTCAGAGTATAAGGCAATACCACACCAGCCCAGCAGATGGCAACATTGTACACTGTATGGTTTTGTTTCTTGGGTCTTAAAAGTCAATGTGTGTTTTTCTATTTTCCCATTTTTTGTTTATTTTTTAGAGTTTGTTAGGATCTTTTTATCTTACATTAATTATATTACATTTTTATGACTCAGACTATCTACAACCCCTCTTCTAATTTTCACTTCCATGCTAACCCACTATTTGAATGAACTTTGTTTTTACTGGCAGAATATACCTAATTGTTTCAGGCAAATGGTGTATTTAACTGTGGGGTTCCCTTTCCTTCCTGTAATATAATTTTAAAACTAAATTATGTAATAAAATTATTTCCAAATCAAATGTGTCTTTTTTTCCAGCACGAACTAAAGAAGTAGTAATGAAAAATGTTAACTGGCCTGATCCTGATTTGATCATTTGACTTAAAAAATTTATAAGAATCTGGTGTTCAGCAAACATGTTAAAAAATATGGAGTTTTCATAAATGACTTAATAGGAAATGTATTTTTAGATAATTATGTTTTATTCGATTACAGTTTTATTATCAAACTTTCTTTTCTTGAATTTACGTTCAAACAATTTGATCAATTAAAATCCCAAATCGCTGGTGTTGTTGTGATGCAACAAGCCTGAAGGGAAGTTTCCAGAACAAACAGGAGTGACATGGGGTTGGTTCTCTAGAGAGTTGGTTGGTTTAGTGTTTCTGTTCTCAAGAAAAACACAGGATGCAAGTCACCATCAGGCCCGAGGCACGGGCACTTCACAGCCGGTGTTCTGCTAGATCAGCTCCCAAAAGACAAAACCAGCAGAGTCAAAGCTGGTTTCTAAACTTAAAAAAAGAAAACATCATTGTTTTTTTTTTAATTGAAATGGGACTAAGTGGCATCGCAGCTTGACTCTAAACACCCCTTAGGCTGAGAAAAAGCAAAAACACCTGATTAAAAGTAACACCCTAATGCTTTGCTAAAATAAACATGTTTAATTGTTTATTTTTGATCAGTTGACAGATGTGAAACTTTAAATTTCCCTAAGTGGCGTGACATGTGGGGGTCAATTAACAAATAAAACATCTTTTTCTCAATCTTTTATTCATTTGGAACTTTAAAACAAAATTAAATACCTTCTTCCTGACTGTGCCATTACAAAGATATTCTTGTAAGTGTACGAGATTGTAAGTGCAACAGACATTTAGTAACATGTAATAAAAAATACATGCTTTTTGGTACATGGTACTTTTTCAGCAGTGGCTGCATGTTTAAACATGGCTATCATGCTAACAAGCTGCTCTACATGCCCTCTACGTGCAAGATGAAAGATATCTTTAGTTTTCTGTTAGATGTTTAAGTTGCTCCTGTAGTTCCTGAATATCACCCACTGTCAGAAAATAGAAAAAAAAAACTGGGGGGCAGTGATTGCTACTAATGAAGCAGTATCATTTAACAACACCAACACTGAATCAGCCGTTGCAACAGGTGGGGCCTGGCTAGTTCAAATGAAGCAGACAGTAAAAATCAGAATTCAAAATTTCAAAAGCATTTTTGTTGGTCAGAAACTGAAACTTTTCCTTTACAAAACACCAATGTAGGTTGATGCCACATGGCAAAACTTACTAAAAGGAACACGAATCTCATGAGTCCAGGCCTTATTGTCGAAGCATGAGAGTTTAAAACTTTCTTTCACTATCTTCCTGTATCAACTAGTTGTGTTGAGCTGCTAAACAGGAACAAATGTCTGTTTAGGCCTATTATTTAGATTTTTTTGTCAATACCAGTAAGTAATGTAATGCATCTAAAATTCTTATATTTTAGGTGGTGCATTTGCAGCTGCTCATAGGAAGTTGGACTTTTAGATGCTACATCCTTGAGCTACCAGGAGAGGGTGGTGATACCTCAACAATCCACCACTTTCTGCGCTGGCGTTCTTCATCTGAAGTTTGATTCCATGTGTCTACAGCATGAATTATTATTTAAAGCCTTTGGTTTTTATTCTATTAGGACGTTTAACATGGACCATGTTTTTTTCAGGTGATGATAAACTATGTTTGAATTAAAATGATGATTAGGATGATTTATTAAAATAAATACATTTTCTAAGTTGGGGACTCCAAAGCATTTTAGAGAACAATCATTCATACCCCTGCTGATGGTAATAAACTACAGCTGCCTTTGGGACAACTACCAACTGTCCCTCTGACCTCCATCATTAAGCATGAAGGGGGAAGCGTTTTGCTCAAGGACACAATGACTAATATGAATGGAGCCTGGGCTCGAACCAGAAACACACCGATCACAGGGTAAACTCCTAAACCCTGAGCCTCAACCCTCACATGTTCTGCACAAATGTCCCATATGTAAAACCCTCCACAAAACAATAATTTTACACATAACTCATATCCAACGGTCCAATCAGATTGGTTATATGTGATTATGTAATGAAAATGTGATTGTTGCCATAGAAACCACAAGAATAAGTCTTGCTTAACCCTAGTGGCTTTTGCCCATCAGGGTCCATGAGGATGAAAATGCGACGAGTAATAACCGGGCTTCTTTTCATCGGGCTCTTCTTGGCATGTGACAGAGCGGAGAAGGACGCTCCTCTCTGTCAGATTCTGGGGAGTCCAGAGCTTCCTCTGCTGTCTAAAGCAGGAGATGTGGTGGTCGGGGGTGCTTTCTCTATTCACAGCAAAATCACACAACCTCCACTTTCCTTTAGAGAGAAACCAGCACCTCTAACTTGTTCCAGGTATTTCTGAACTGTATGTAAATGTCTTAGTCCTTCACTATTTTGTATCACTTCGTTTGAATTTATATTACTCTGATCTTGTCTCAGCGTCAACCTAAGGGAGTTCAGATTTGCACAGACGATGATTTTTGCTATTGAGGAAATCAATAAAAGTGCATTTCTTCTTCCTAATGTTTCTATTGGATATCGGATTTATGACAACTGTGGCTCAACATTATCCTCAATGCATTCCGCAATGGCTCTGTTGAACGGTGATGAGTGGACAATGGGACAGAGTTGCTCTGGCCAAGCAGCTGTCCATGCTATCATTGGGGAATCTGAATCTTCCTCAACCATTGTGCTTTCACGCACTACTGGACCATTTAAAATACCAGTGGTAAGAAATATACCTGTGGCTATTATCGCAGGTAAATCCTTCTTCTACGTTTCATTTGTTTGTTTTTATTTTCTGTCCACAGATCAGTCATTCAGCAACGTGCGAGTGTTTGAGCAACAGGAAGGAATATCCTTCTTTCTTTCGAACCATTGCCAGTGACCTCTATCAAAGCCGTGCCCTCGCCCAAATGGTCAAACACTTTGGCTGGACGTGGGTCGGGGCAGTCAACAGTGACAGTGACTATGGCAACAATGGCATGGCCATCTTCCTGGCTGCTGCCCAGGAGGAAGGAGTGTGTGTGGAATATACAGAGAAATTTAGCCGACACGAACCAGAAAAACTCCTGAAAGTGGTGGAAGTGATCCTAAAGAGCACTGCTCGGGTGATTGTCTGCTTCCTGGCTCACGTGGAAATGAACAATCTGTTAGAGCAGCTGAGTCGGCTCAACATCACGGGCCGACAGTTCATTGGTGTGGAGGCCTGGATTACCGCTGACAGCCTTGTTACTCCTACAAGCTTTAATGTGCTGGGAGGCTCACTGGGCTTTGCTGTGCAAAAAGTTAATATTAGTGGTCTGGAGGATTTTTTAGTTAAAGACTTCTGGGAATCAGACCTCCAATGCAATGAGATGAATACGGACAGTATGATAAAAATATGCAAAGAAAACCAGGACTTACTTGAGTTTAGAGGTTATAATGAGGATGTGGCAGAGCTGAGATACTCTAGTAACATCTATAATGCCATCTTTGCTGTGGCTCACTCTCTGCACAGCATCCTGAGATGCTCAGAAAGTCAGGACTGTGAGAAAACACTGGTGGTCAAGCCTTGGGAGGTAAATTACAATCAAATCAACACTGTTAGTTTCAAATTTTCATAATTCATTGTCCTGACATTATGATCACTGACAAACATTGATGTCATACTTTAGGTAGTTGAGGCTCTACAGCAGGTGAATTTTACAATGAATAATGGAGACCAGGTGTGGTTTGATCACACAGGAGCAGCTGTTGCGAAGTATGAAGTGGTGAACTGGCAGCGTGGATCAGATGGATTGATTCAGTTTAAACCGGTTGGTTACTATGATGCTTCTCTGCCTTCTGGACAGATGTTTGTTCTGAATACAGAAGCTATAACGTGGCCTGGAGGAAGCAAGGAGGTAAACTTCCTATAACCTCATTTTCTAAACTGCTGTTTCAATAAACTAAGAGTGTATTTTTCTTGCATGACATAAAGTTGCCTGCTTCAGTGTGCAGTGAAAGCTGTCGACCAGGAACTCATAAAGTCCTTCAAAAGGGAAAACCCATCTGCTGCTATGACTGTATAACATGTCCTGTTGGGGAAATTAGCAACTCAACAGGTAACACGGACCTGATTTATCATGATTCGCAGACATCGTTTGTTATCTACAGTGTCTGTTTACTGTTGAAATCTGCAGTAACACACTCCATTATCAGTGTCATTAGTGTGTGACTACGACAATAATGGTATAATCAGACAACTGGGAAATCTAGCAGCGCATGTTCAAAAATACGCTAAAAATCTCTGTAGTTTTTATTCTACATCATTATTTGAAAGACTGACGTTCTGTAGCTAAATTATGCTCTTTTTAAATAACGTGAATAATCAAAATAAAAATGTTCCAATCCCTTCTAAACCTAAAAACATTAATCACAACTCTTTTCTCCTCTCACCTTGATGATTGTGATGCCCTGTGTTGTAATCTATCCCGCCATGCATTGACGCATCTGCAAGTGGTGCGAAATTCAGCAGCTAGACTTAGAAAAGAGAATCAGTCCTATTTAATGTCCTTGCACTGGCTCCAGGCAAATATAGCATTGTTTTAAAGGTTTGGCCATTTGTTTTTAAAGCTCTTAATAGTCTGGCCCCCGTAAATATTACTGAGCACCTTTCTTAATATAATAGCGCTGTGTGTCTAAGATCAGCACTTCAGAAAAAGTGACCAGGAGTTCGCTGTAGCAGCCCCAAAACTCTAGATTTATCTTCCTATTTGGTTGAAACGACTCCGCTTTCACAGCGATTTTGAAATCTAATTTGAAAGCACATCTATTTTCTTTAGCTTTTGAGTGTTCTTAATGATTTTAGTATCTTTACTCTTATTTCTTGACTGTTTAATTTGTCTTAATGTGGTTTTTCACAAACGTTCAGCAACGGTCAGTCTGTTTTAAATGTGCTATAAAAATAAAGCTGATTGAACATTGTTTTTCATTACAGATTCTAATGACTGCAAAAAGTGTCCTGAAGCATTTTGGTCCAATCAGAACAGAGATGCATGTGTACTCAAACTTATTGAGTTCCTCTCATTCAGTGAGGTCATGGCTAAAATCCTTGTGTTTTTCACCTTGTTTGGTTTGCTCCTGACCTTCATGGTAGCTGCTCTGTTTTTAATCAATAAAGAGACACCGTTGGTGAAAGCCAACAACTCAGAGCTGAGCTTCCTGCTGCTCTTCTCCTTGTCTTTGTGTTTTTTATGCTCTCTGACCTTCATCGGCCAGCCCACAGAGTGGTCCTGCATGCTGCGTCACACGGCGTTTGGCATCACCTTTGTCCTCTGCATTTCCTGTATTCTCGGGAAAACCATGGTGGTTTTAATGGCTTTTAGAGCAACGCTTCCAGGCAGCAATGTGATGAAATGGTTTGGGCCTGCACAGCAGAGACTCACTGTTTTGTTCTTCCCCTTCATACAGCTCATAATTTGCACCCTATGGTTGAGGATAAACCCCCCTTTTCCTTTTAAAAATGGGAGTTACTATTTGGAGAAGATAATTCTGGAATGTGCTCTGGGGTCAACTGTCGGCTTCTGGGCTGTCTTAGGATTTATTGGATTTCTTGCTTTGTTGTGCTTTGTTCTTGCTTTTCTGGCCAGAAAGTTGCCAGACAGCTTCAACGAAGCCAAATATATCACTTTTAGCATGTTGATCTTCTGTGCAGTGTGGCTCACCTTCATCCCAGCATATGTCAGCTCTCCTGGGAAGTTTACTGTTGCCGTGGAGATTTTTGCTATTCTGGCATCAAGTTATGGAATACTGTTTTGTATATTTGCACCAAAATGCTTCATTCTTGTATTTAAACCTGAAATGAACACAAGAAAGCACATGCTTGGAAAAACATAACCTTACCTTTATTTGAAATGAACACATGCAATTTAAATTGTTTAGTTTTCTGCAAATTAGCATTTTCTTGCAGATCCTACATTTACTTTCAAAATAAAAATCTCCTTATTTAAAAATGTGTCAAAGATGAAATGAACCCAATTTCTTAAAGATGCACTTAATCCATAATAAATGGACAATATTGTTGTTTTTGTCAAGCACAAAAAATTAAATATTCCTCCATGGCATGGCTGTATTTTTCTTCCAAAGAGAACTAAGGGCCTGAAAAGCAGAGATTTCTGTATACATTACCTGTAATAAATACACAATGGTCATAAGAGTCGTTTAAACTCGTGAAAGGTTCATGAACAATAGCATATTGTGAGGAAAATATTTATGTGAAGTTTTGCAAACACATTTCTTTATCAATTGCTATCAAATCTTTTATAAATGTTTATTAGGTGACAGCAGTTATCCACTTTGGATTTAGCCATAACACTTTGAAATTGTGACTAAGGGTGTCAAACATCCGGCCCGCGAGATGGTTGTGTAAACTTTATTTTCATACTTTACATTGTAGAGTGAAAATAAACTTATCATTGTGAGCAAGTTTTCTCTGTAAAGAGTATAAATAAAACAAAGCTGCGCTCAAGGCTCACACAAGAACTTGAATCCCATCCTGAAGATGTCTGCCACTCAGGATGTGACTCCTGATATTGATGTGCTGGTGAAAGCTAAAAGATGTAAAGTAAAATGAGTCAAATATACTTTAAGTGCTGCATGAAACTGATCTAGCCATGTGATCTGTAAGCTCTTTGGATCACTAAGGAATGTTTATTTATTTATTTATTTATTTTTTCAAATTTTCAAGTACACTTCAGGTGTTGTACTTGTACTATTTTGGATACACTGTCCTCAGGCTCCAGCTTTGTTTTATATTGATTGTATTAATACAAAGAAAACAATCTGAAGTTGTTTTTAATTTACCGGTCTGGCCCACTTGGGACTAGATTTCCCTCAATATGGCCACTGAGCTAAAATGAGTTTGACACCCCTGCTCTAAACCAATAAAATAAAACAAAGTAAAAATCAATTAAGGTCCACTAAATGGTTGAGGGAATACGATGTTTGTAACATGGAAAGAAAAAAGACTATAGTTAGAGGGCCAGAAGCAAAGTAAGATTTTTTTTCTAAATACATTGAAGGTAAAACGCGCCCCTGCATGCCGATAGGTAGGCCAAGCAATTGCCAGAGGGCCGATAGACTTAAAACCAGGTCAGAGCCAAAACTAAGATGGCCACAGCTTGTTTGTAACGATTTTGACATCAACTTTTGAATGCCAAAATTGTCGCCACATGGACAAAATGGCCAAATAAGAAATGCATCTCATGAGACAATGCCTGACTTTTAAAGCTGTGGCTCATGGGAGTTTGAAACTTCTACTTTTCTAATTTCCCCTGTCACCCAGTTGTGCTCCTTATGAGGGAAAAAAAAAGTTTCTTTCAGTTTCTTACTTTTATTTTATCCAGTACAACAGTACAGCTGTGTACATTAGCATCCACATATATTTAAAGGTGCAATTTGTAAGAATTCTACCGTAAAATAACCACAAAACAGTCTAATGTCTCAAACATGTTAGAAGAAAGGTTGTACTGAGACGGATTTCTTTTTCTGCTGGCTGGAGTGTTGTCAGTTTTTCTCCTTTCAAAATAAAAGACAAAAGATTGATGTTGGTACTGTTTACAATCTGTAAGATTGTGAGATTGCTGAATCTGCAGCGAGCTAACATAGCAGCGCCGACACTTTTAATTCGACACAAGCAGACAAAAAGCCCCAGAAGCCGTATTTACAAAACAATGCCGTCAATTTGCCGCCACGGCGTTGTGGCATCAGGGAGATTTAGGTCATTTACAGGTGCTGGCCAGTAAATTAGAATATCATCAAAAGGTTGAAAATATTTCAGTAATTCCATTCAAAACGTGAAACTTGTACATTATATTCATGCAATGCACACAGACCAATGTATTTCCGATGTTTATTACGTTTAATTTTGATATTTATAGGTGACAACCAATGAAAACATCAAATCTGGTATCTCAGAAAATTAGAATATTCTAAAGGCCAATGAAAAAATGTTTGTTTCTCTAATGTTGGCCAACTGAAAAGAATGAACATGAAAAGAATGTGCATGTATAGCACTCAATACTTAGTCGGGGCTCCTTTTGCCTCAATAACTGCAGTAATGCGGCGTGGCATGGACTCGATCAGTCTGTGGCACTGCTCAGGTGTTATGAGAGCCCAGGTTGCTCTGATAGTCGTCTTCAGCTCCTCTGCATTGTTGGGTCTAGCGTATTGCATCCTCCGCTTCACAATACCCCATAGATTTTCTATGGGGTTAAGGTCAGGCGAGTTTGCTGGCCAATCAAGGACAGGGATACCATGGTCCTTGAACCAGGTGCTGGTGGTTTTGGCACTGTGTGCAGGTGCCAAGTCCTGTTGAAAGGTGAAGTCTGCATCCCCATAAAGTTGGTCAGCAGCAGGAAGCATGAAGTGCTCTAAAACTTCCTGGTAGACGGCTGCATTGACCCTGGACCTCAGGAAACAGAGTGGGCCAACACCGGCAGATGACATGGCACCCCACACCATCACTGACGGTGGAAACTTTACACTGGACCTCATGCAACGTGGATTCTGTGCTTCTCCGCTCTTCCTCCAGACTCTGGGTCCTTGATTTCCAAAGGAAATGCAGAACTTGCTTTCATCAGAAAACATAACTTTGGACCACTCAGCATCAGTCCAGTCCTTTTTGTCCTTGGCCCAGGCGAGACGCTTCTTGCGCTGTTTCATGTTCAAGAGTGGCTTGACACACGGAATGCGACACCTGAATCCCATGTCTTTCATGAGTCTCCTCGTGGTGGTTCTTGAAGCGCTGACTCCAGCTGCAGTCCACTCTTTGTGGATCTCCCCCACATTTTTGAATGGGTTTGTCGTCACAATTCTCTGCAGGGTGCGGTTATCCCTAGAGCTTGTACACTTTTTTCTACCACATTTTTTCCGTCCCTTCGCCTGTCTGTTAATGTGCTTGGACACAGAGCTCTGCGAACAGCCAGCTTCTTTAGCAATCACCTTTTGTGTCTTGCCCTCCTTGTGCAAGGTGTCAATGATTGTCTTTTGGACAGCTGTTAAGTCAGAAGTCTTCCCCATGATTGTGGTGCCTTCAAAACAAGACTGAGGGACCTTTTAAAGGCCTTTGCAGGTGTTTTGAGTAAATCAGCTGATTAGAGTGGCAGCAGGTGTCTTCTATATTCAGCCTTTTCAGAATATTCTAATTTTTTGAGATACCAAATTTGGAGTTTTCATTAGTTGTCACTTATGAATATCAAATTTAAATGTAATGAACATTGGAAATACATTGGTCTGTGTGCATTGCATGAATATAATGTACAAGTTTCACGTTTTGAATGGAATTACTGAAATATTTTCAACCTTTTGATGATATTCTAATTTACTGGCCAGCACCTGTATAAGTGGTCAGACCATGGTGGTAATGTTGCTCAATTATTTCCTTTTTACAAAAGATTAGGCGATGGCGGTATAAGGGGGTATGGGGGCGGTCTCTGCGCCGCTGTGGCATTCCATTTATCTTGGACATAACTTGCTTTTTATTTTAACAAGCTGCTCCTAAAGGTGTCTGTCTTCCACAGTCCCCATGCTGTCTCTGGTGATTTGACCTCCAGCTCTAACCGAGAGAAGCTCCAGGAAAGCTGCATCGCTTCAGTTTAACATCTCAGCTGATTCTGTTTACAGAAGTGAAACTTGCGGCCCGTGTTGGCTTTCATTTTCAAAACATTTGCCGGCGGAAGCTCGACAGTACCTTCTAACGCAATCGTGATGCCTTCCTCTGTTGCGTCAAGGCGCAGTCGCCTTGTCGCAATAAGTCGTGAAAAGAATGCTGCAAAATTTGCACATTGCCATGCCGGTGCGGCGTGTTTATAGGACACACCGTTACTGTAATCAGTGTCCTGATAACTGCAAAGCACACTGAACTGCCTCCGTGTTTGAAATGAGCTCTATAAATAAAGCTGCCTTGCCTTGCCTAATATTACGCTGATTTGCTGGCACGGCGTGTCTTGTTAAAAGGACTAGAGTCAGAGTGACCCAGATGTTATTTCTTTTACCCCATAAGAAGCCAAGGTATCTTTTTGTTTTTCTCTAATGTGGAGTGAAGAAGGCAAGAGGCGAAGCACCTCATGATTTTTATCTTGAGAGGCGCTATTGAAATGATATTTTCTTCTTCTTCTAATGTTGAGCTAACAATGCTAATGGCTAATCAGAATCAAATAGTCAGCTCCAAAAATATCTCAAGCTACTTTTCCAAACACCAACCACTCGATGTTACAGTGAAATGTATGTGGGAAGTGAATGAGTCCATCGGCGCATTGTATTGAGTCGTTAAAAAGTATAATAGCAAGCTAACTGTAAGACGATAAAAGATCACACTTCCTGTATTGCTGGAGACAAATTACTGTAATGTACTGTAACTGAGGGAAAGACAGAGCTCATTGTTTTTCACCCCAATAGCAGGGCTGTGGGTCGTTATGTTGATCTTGGCCCTCTTTCCCCCCATTCAAAACCAGTTGTCACCAGTCTGGGGGCGAAAATTGACGCTGGACTTAAATTTGATGCTCACATCAACTCTGTGATCCGGTCCAGTTTCTTTCACCTGAGACGCCTTGCAAAAATCAAGCCTATGCTGTCAAGAGCCCACCTGGAGCGGGTACTCCATGCTTTTGTAATTCCGAGGCTTGATCATTGCAACTCTCTCTATGCAGGGTTGTGTCAGTCATCACTGCGTCGCCTACAGGTTGTGCAGAACAGCGCAGCCAGGTTCCTGACTGGGACCAGGAAACAGGATCACAACAGTCCGGTTCTGGCCTCCCTGCACTGGCTTCCAGTTTGTTATCATTCACACTTTAAACTCCTCATCTTTGTTTACAATTTCTTCCAGGGTGGTGCTCCCCCTATCTAGCCACACTCCTGAACCAACATTCCCCATCATGCGCTCTGCGCTCTTCTGACCAAGGCCTGCTCGCTGTCCCTCGTTCTAAGTGCCGTACTCGCGGAGACCGGGCTTTCTCAGTCCTAGCACCGTCACTCTGGAACCAGTTGCCACCCTCAGTTAGGCTGTCCCCATCTCTGCCAGTCTTTAAGAGTCGCCTAAAAACCCACATCCTCCGCTTGGTGTTCCCTGAACGTGTTTGAATTTGGCCCTCTTCAATGTTGATTTTATTTCTCTGTTTTCAATGGTCTCTCTATCCCTTGTTTTACCCATTTGTCTTCTACTAGAATGTTTTACCTTTTTTTGTAAGATTTTAATTGCTTTTATTTTAGATTTATTCATCATATTTAACTTTTCTCATGTAGCATGTTCAGCGCCTTGGGCTTCCCGACAGGGTCGCGGAAGGTGCTTTATAAATAAAGCTTTGATTGATTGATTGATTAATAAGTGTAGTAAGTGCTCCCTACCATTTAGAACTCAAATGGGCTAACACCACATATGCCAATGTGTATCTACTTGTCAAGTCACTGTGTATGACTCATCTTCATTTGCCATCTAGAATGTTTTGGTGCAGATCCTGGCATCAGCCATGAAGCTCACTGAACGGGAGTGAGAAAGTGATATTTTTGAATAAAAAAAAGACAGCAGTAACCATTTTTCACCACATGATGTACAAATTGCACCTTTAAAAATAAGTTGTATATTTACAGTTGCTTTTGTGAAGTTAGTTGAGTTTGATATCTGTATTGTTCATCTACAAAGAGGGGAGTCCTTTACTTCCTGTGGTAAGGGTCTTCATTTGAAATAAAATATTTTTAAGCATTTCCAACATGAGCCAACATTTAACAGTCACTTAAAACCTTTTGATTTTTTTATTGTAAAAATTGTTGTTTCCTTTTATTTTTATTTTATTTAAATAGTTTATATTTTTGTTTTCTATTATTAATTTTTGTCTTTTTGATCCTAGTTTTATTGGTGTCTTGTTTCTATGTTTTATTTGGGCTGTGTTCAGCGCTTTGGGTTCCCCTTAAAGGGACTTAACGGACTTTTGAATTTTTATGCTCGCAATTGCCCCCTCAGGCCAAAAGCGTAATGGCAGCTTCCATAGTAGGCTCGTGCACGAGGCGTGCATTCTGTACGTGCACACTCCTTAACGAAAATAACAGCTGAGACAGTCACGTGTGTGTGTGTGTGTGTGTGTGTGTGTGTGTGTGTGTGTGTGTGTGTGTGTGTGTGTGTGTGTGTGTGTGTGTGGCCCGGAGGAAAGAGGACAGGAGAATGCGCAGCTAATTAATTAAATAATTTGGTTCTGTACCTTTCTCTTCAGCACAGCCGACAAAGGTTTATGATGGGTCAGTCCTCCTGCATGCTCAGATCATTCGCTTCCCTTGCTTGAAAAATTGTTCCAAAATGAAAGTTGAACCCACATCTTTTTTATCGGTGAATTCAATGCCGTTCGGCAAGTCTCAAATAAAAATTTGGGCATCGTACTATTAACAAAATACCATTAATGTAAAAAAGAAACTCTAAATGAACTATGTTCACACCCATAATCAAACCCAGGTCTTCTGCATGGGAGTCAGACATCTTACAAGGTGAGTTACACTCTAGTAACATTCACAGTATCTGTAACTTTTATATCCTTGATGACAGCTGAAATAACGTCAAACCAAAGAACGGTTCAAGGCGAAAATGGCAATTTTGTTGCCAATTTGCAGGAAATACCTAGAAGAAAGTTCTACAGAAAGAAGCTAAGGGTCCTCAGAAATGTAGCTAGGTTCATCACTAGGCATTAGGAACAGCGACAAAGTCGCTGAGTTGGCTCTGCTGCTAAATCTACGGATAGCAAATGCTACGGGCTATGCCCAGTGTTGCCAACTGTTTTTGACTGAAAGTAGCTGAAGTTCCCCCCAAAAGTCGCTAGATGTCGCCAGATGATGTCATGTGCTAATTTGCATATGACGCAATGACGTCCTCTGGTTTGCGTGATGACGTCACCATGTTTGCGTCATGACGTCACCGGTCTTGTAGAGTAAATCAAATAAAACCCACGTGATATTATTTAAAAAATTATTTAATTTATTTTTAAATATTTTATTAAAATAAAAACCCCATATAATCCAAAACAGCAGCCATTAAAACATCAAGGAAAGATGGCACAAAAAAATGGAAGGAATATTTCTATTTTGTCTGAAGAGAATGGAACTCTTAAACACAAAAATATTAAATTGATAGGAATGTATGTATGATTGAATTAAAATGAATTTTCTCTTGTACTTTTCTAGTGCCTTGAGATGTATTTTTCTGTTGTGATTCAGTGCTATATATTGACCTAAAAGATAATATATATATATTTTTGTTTTTGTTTGGTTTTGTTGTTTTTAGTACTTTTGTGTAAAAAGAAGCAGGCCGTATTTAGTATTCAGATTACATGCAAACTGCCAATGACCTGAGGTGTTTGTCTTACAGCATTATTCTGTTTTTTATAAAAAAATTTAAATGTGCTATGTTTTTGAACTCATCATAGAGTGTCAATGTTCCTTGAATGCACCACAAGTGGTGCGAGAAGCCATGTGTGAGTGCGACGCTGCCTGCCAGTGCCAGCCGAGCTCAGTGGCCGAAATGCGGCAGGATGGCGGAAGGAGCGGTCGCCCTTTATGTAGCTCCGGTGGCTATCTCAAATAATGGACTTGTGAAAACTCACAAAAGGTTTGATCAATGGGGGTACCGTGATCATGCTGCACACACATGCGCAGATCATTTTCTTTCTGATCCTCTGAAAGGAAGGACGGTCCTGTCGCTTCAGATGCATCGCTGATCTGCAGGTAAAGTCTGCTAAAAAGTTGTAGTCAAAGTAGCTGAGGGGGGTCAGAAATGTCGCCAGATTTGTCGCTAGGTGCTTTTTTGAAAAAAAAAAAAGTCGTTATGGGGGTCTGAAAAGTCGTTAGAAATGGCGACAAAGTTGCTAAGTTGGCAACACTGGCTATGCCTGAGCGTGAACGCGCATGAAGCAGCCTGCTCGACCCGAGCATCTCTCTTTTTTTGTGATTTTACAGAAAAACAGGCAATCACAGTAAAAATGCCAGGGCTCAGTCTACAGGACCAGGGCATTGCAGGAGACTGTATGAAGAAGAAATGTATTATTTCTATACATGTTTTGGCTGTCAAACTTCCATAATGTCCCTTTAAGGATGATGGAAAGCACTATACAAATAAAAGTTGATTGAAAAATCTGTTTTCTGTTGATACTGACTGTTTTACATCTTTTCACGTGTTCTGAGTGAATAATGCAAAATGTATTGCAACACCATGAAAGATCAATAACATATACAATAATATGACAAGGTCCAATTAATGCTCTGATTGGATAATGATACTACAGTTCTCACCATGGAAGCTACAAGAGAGTTGTCTCACTTGACCCAAGTGGCTCTTCCCCGTCAGGGTCCATGAGGATGAAAATGCCACGAGTAATAACCGGGTTTCTTTTCATCGGGCTCTTATTGGCATGTGACAGAGCGGAGAAGGGCGCTCCTCTCTGTCAGATTTTGGGGAGTTCAGAGCTTCCTCTGCTGTCTAAAGCAGGAGATGTGGTGGTCGGGGGTGCTTTCTCTATTCACAGCAAAATCACACAACCTCCACTTTCCTTTAGAGAGAAACCAACACCTCTAACTTGTTCCAGGTATTTCTGAACTGTATGTAAATGTCTTAGTCCTTCACTATTTTGTATCACTTCATTTGAATTTATATTACTCTGATCTTGTCTCAGCATCAACCTAAGGGAGTTCAGATTTGCACAGATGATGATTTTTGCTATTGAGGAAATCAATAAAAGTACATTTCTTCTTCCTAATGTTTCTATTGGATATCGGATTTATGACAACTGTGCATCGACACTGACCTCAATGCATTCCGCAATGGCTCTGTTGAATGGTGATGAGTGGACAATGGGACAGAGTTGCTCTGGCCAAGCAGCTGTCCATGCTATCATTGGGGAATCGGAATCTTCCTCAACCATTGTGCTTTCACGCACTACTGGACCATTTAAAATACCAGTGGTAAGAAATATACCTGTGGCTATTATCACAGGTAAATCCTTCTTCTACGTTTCATTTGTTTGTTTGTTTTTATTTTCTGTCCACAGATCAGTCATTCAGCAACGTGCGAGTGTTTGAGCAACAGGAAGGAGTATCCTTCTTTCTTTCGAACCATTGCTAGTGACCTCTATCAAGGCCGTGCTCTTGTCCAGCTGGTTAAACACTTTGGCTGGACGTGGGTCGGGGCAGTCAACAGTGACAGTGACTATGGCAACAATGGCATGGCCATCTTCCTGGCTGCTGCCCAGGAGGAAGGAGTGTGTGTGGAATATACAGAGAAATTTAGCCGACACGAACCAGAAAAACTCCTGAAAGTGGTGGAAGTGATCCTAAAGAGCACTGCTCGGGTTATTGTCTGCTTCCTGGCTCACGTGGAAATGAACAATCTGTTAGAGCAGCTGAGTCGGCTCAACATCACGGGCCGACAGTTCATTGGTGTGGAGGCCTGGATTACCGCTGACAGCCTTGTTACTCCTACAAGTTTTAATGTGCTGGGAGGCTCACTGGGCTTTGCTGTGCAAAAAGTTAATATTAGTGGTCTAGAGGATTTTTTAGTTAAAGACTTCTGGGAATCAGACCTCCAATGCAATGAGATGAATACGGACAGTATGATAAAAATATGCAAAGAAAACCAGGACTTACTTGAGTTTAGAGGTTATAATGAGGATGTGGCAGAGCTGAGATACTCAAATAACATATATCAAGCCATCTTTGCTGTGGCTCACGCTCTGCACAGCATCCTGAGATGCTCAGAAAGTCAAGGGTGCGATAAAACATTGGAGGTCAAGCCTTGGGAGGTAAAATGAAAAAAATATATTTTTTTGTGTTTAAAGTTTCATAATTCGTTTTGCCTATTGTCACTGAGAAACTGTTTGTGTTTAGGTAGTTGAGGCTCTACAGCAGTTGAATTTTACAATGAATAATGGAGACCAGGTGTGGTTTGATCACACAGGAGGAGCTTTTGCGAAGTATGAAGTGGTGAACTGGCAGCGTGGATCAGATGGATTGATTCAGTTTAAACCGGTTGGTTACTATGATGCTTCTCTGCCTTCTGGACAGATGTTAGTTCTGAATACAGAAGCTATAACGTGGCCTGGAGGAAGCAAGGAGGTAAACTTCCTATAACCTCATTTTCTAAACTGCTGTTTCAATAAACTAAGAGTGTATTTTTCTTGCATGACATAAAGTTGCCTGCTTCAGTGTGCAGTGAAAGCTGTCGACCAGGAACTCATAAAGTCCTTCAAAAGGGAAAACCCATCTGCTGCTATGACTGTATACCATGTCCTGTTGGGGAAATTAGCAACTCAACAGGTAACACGGACCTGAATTATCATGATTCGCAGACATCGTTACTTAGCTACAGTGTCTGTTTACTGTTGAAATCTGCAGTAACACACTCCCTTATCAGTGTCATTAGTATGTGACTGATTCACTTATGACAACAATAGTAACATTGTTTTTTATTACAGACTCTAATGACTGCAAAAAGTGTCCTGAGGAATTTTTATCCAATCAGAACAGAGATGCATGTGTACTCAAACTTATTGAGTTCCTCTCATTCAGTGAGGTCATGGCTAAAATCCTTGTGTTTTTCACCTTGTTTGGTTTGCTCCTGACCTTCATGGTAGCTGCTCTGTTTTTAATCAATAAAGACACACCGTTGGTGAAAGCCAACAACTCAGAGCTGAGCTTCCTGCTGCTCTTCTCCTTGTCTTTGTGTTTTTTATGCTCTCTGACCTTCATCGGCCAGCCCACAGAGTGGTCCTGCATGCTGCGTCACACGGCGTTTGGCATCACCTTTGTCCTCTGCATTTCCTGTATTCTCGGGAAAACCATGGTGGTTTTAATGGCTTTTAGAGCAACGCTTCCAGGCAGCAATGTGATGAAATGGTTTGGGCCTGCACAGCAGAGACTCACTGTTTTGTTCTTCCCCTTCATACAGCTCATAATTTGCACCCTGTGGTTGAGGATAAACCCCCCTTTTCCTTTTAAAAATGGGAGTTACTATTTGGAGAAGATAATTCTGGAATGTGCTCTGGGGTCAACTGTCGGCTTCTGGGCTGTCTTAGGATTTATTGGATTTCTTGCTTTGTTGTGCTTTGTTCTTGCTTTTCTGGCCAGAAAGTTGCCAGACAGCTTCAACGAAGCCAAATATATTACTTTTAGCATGTTGATCTTCTGTGCAGTGTGGCTCACCTTCATCCCAGCATATGTCAGCTCTCCTGGGAAGTTTACTGTTGCCGTGGAGATTTTTGCTATTCTGGCATCAAGTTATGGAATACTGTTTTGTATATTTGCACCAAAATGCTTCATTCTTGTATTTAAACCTGAAATGAACACAAGAAAACACATGCTTGGAAAAGCATAGTTAATTCAGCAAAAAAAAAAAGCTAAATCTGTTCTTAAAATTGCTTTTCTGTCACGCTGAAAAACTGTGCAGATCCTGGAAATGATTCTGATTTGACATATTTTTATAAACCAAATAACTTAAAAGAATGTGCTCTGGTTTAGGCAGGCAAATAGGGATTTAAGAAAATATCGATATGACAATATATTGTGATTTTTTTCCCTGCAATATTATATCGATCTTCAAAAGCCATGTATCTAATCTTTGGAAGAATTTACTTGCAAACATTTGTGTATTTTATTTTCGTGTAATTCAAATCCCGGCCGCTAATTGGCAGCAGTGTGCAATGGAGTTTGTTTCCCAACACAGCAACACGAAACATCCAAATCCATATGCATCCATCACGGAGTTAGTCCTGGTAGATTGTAAGAATTTATAATTATAGAAATTAAAGATTCTTAAACGATCCCAACTCTCTCTTATCTTGTCTCTCAGTCAATACAGAGCGTTTAAGTAAACTCCCTGATGATAAAAACAACCACTTCTGATTATACTATTTAGATCTAATTACAGTGTATAAATATACAAACTACAGATCACTACACCACCATTGAAATGTAAATCCTTTTTATGGTTCAGATACATATTTCGAAACATGTTAAGTATCACTTTGGACTGCTTATTGAATTTTTCTACAATAATTTCAGTCAAAAAAATTGCTAATATTGTCTGACTGAATGTATTGCAATATATGGTAAAATAATCTATCGTTTCCCCTGTATCATGATACGTATTGTATCGCCAGAAGTTCACCTATACACATTCCTACAAGCAATTAAATAAAAACCATGCAATGCAAAGTTGTTTATTTTCTTTGAAAGATCAGTATAGACTTAAACAGTAGAAATGTCTGCAGAAATTAACCTTTCAGGGGGTCAAGGTACGTTATTTGTACCATTTTTGATGCTTTATCCATGGAAAACAATCTGCTGAATAATGATCATTTGTGGGAATGTATCTGGAACAGATTTACTCCCAATCCAGACTGGCCTGGTGCAGAACGGCAGCAGAAGGTCGCTGCTTCAAATAAAATCCACTATAGTCTATGAGATGACTGGTCGTGGTGCGGAACATTTCAGACGTGTCCCAGATGCAACTCAACGTAACGCCAAAGAAATTATTGGGTTCTATTTTTGCCATGAGCCGCTTCTGGGATGCATCAACTTCCACAGTTAACATAGGGTCAGACAGGAAATCACATACGGTATCAGTGTAAATCGTCTGGTAATTTACAGACTGTTGCAAAGACTTAATTTCGTAGATTGCGTCAATACATGTGACCTAACAGCTTATTCATGTTCAGCGTCGTTTGCGAGGTGCACCAATGTGTTTTTCATGGTTTTAATCCTGGCAGTGGAGAGGAACAACAACATGTATACAACATCAAACAGCAATATCAAACATGATCTTCTTCGTCTTTTCGGTGAAATGGCGTCTGGCATTAACAAACCGTGACCTTTGAAGTCTCGAGGGATTTTGTGAACTTGTGAGTCCAGTGAGGAGGATGGCAGAGAAACTCCCCTGGTGTGGATTGACATTCCATGGAGCATGGGAATAAATCATCCCGTTGTTATTCAGCGCCACCCCCACCCACCATGAGCAACCTAACGGAACAAACGTATAGATAATGACTAATAGAAGTATCCATATCCACCTTATTCCTAGCCCCCAAGATCCTTTGCATGAAATATGTACCTATGTACAGCATTTGTTTACATTGACACCATAGTTGGGTGATGCGATTTGAACTTAAGCTCCAAAGCTTATCAGTACCTACATAGTAATAGGGTTGGCTGTGTTTTATTGAAATAGGTGGGATACATTCTCCTTTTCTTAAAAGCAGACATTCGTCTTCGGTCCCTCGTCATTACCAAGCCTGAGTTCTAGTTTCTACATCAGATGAAATAAAAACAGCAGGTTGTTTTGTATTTTACGATAATTAGAATATGTATAATGTTAAACACTGAGTTCTACTTTAACCATCTGCCTGCGTGTTAAAAGCATAATTCAGTCTTATTTTTAGACTGGGTCTTCAACCACTGATGTACAGCGAAAGTAGAATGTCCACGGCGCTCTTGGCTCCACAAATTTAACTTTCGCCGGATGCTAGTGCAAATGTGAAGAATGCAACATGCTCTCGAGCCACGCGAGTACATTTATCAGGGGCAAATGGTTTTTAAAATCTTGAAATGTTCAAATGCACTGCTGCAAGAAACGAAACCTCACCATGCAAACCAGTGGCTATGCGCTACAGAGGTTGCACCCAAAATCGTTTCTACTTGAGCCGGCCCAGGAAAAAGGTGAGGTGTGTGTGTGCGTGTGTGTGTGTGTGTGTGATGGCAACAGTCCAGGCCACACTGGTTCCAGAGCATGGGGGCCATGCGTACTCCTGCAGCCGACAGGCCCCAGAAGACCTATAGAAACCTGTGATACTAGGAGATGGACATGAGCCCATGAAAGAACACCAGTCTCCAGCCAGAGGGAACCGACTTGGAGCCACTGAGCCAGGATCCCCCAGTCCAGCACATTATTCCTGTAATTTATGCAGACCATCCAGGAGCAAGGCCATGCTGGCCCTAACAGCCCACAACATGCAATGTTTTGTGTTTTTGGTGGAGCCAAAAGCAGCTAGATATCATCGTAATCACACTAGGATTTGATTGGAGAACATCAGTCGTTTGCATCATTACAGCATAAAGTTCAGCCTTTATAAACAGGAGTTGCATTCTTTGGAACAAGAAGATAAGTTTTGTGAATACAATAGTTTTATTTAATAATGAGTGATTACATGCATCTAATTTCATTAGTTGTGATTATATTGGGAACTTTTGGAGCAGAGGGTGAAGATTTTTCTTGTGAGATGCTGGGCAGCCCAGATTTTCCTCTGCTGTCTAAGAAAGGAGATGTTGCTATAGGAGGAACATTTTCCCTCTTCTCCCAAATCTCAAAACCTTCACTCTCCATGAATGAACCGCCAGAGCTTCTAAAGTGCACCAGGTAAAAAACCCTTTTATCATTTTAAAGCTTTTAACCTTTCCTACAGAAAAAAAACAATAAAAACTTTACTTTTTTTTTACTTTTCACCAGGTTGAATTTAAGAGAATTTCGTTTTGCTCAGACAATGATATTTGCCATTGAGGAGATCAACAATAGCAGCTCTCTACTGCCAAATATAACAGTCGGTTATAAAATATTTGACAGCTGTGGTTCAACGCTTCCTTCCACACGTTCCGTCATGGATCTGATGAGTGGAGATGAGAAGAACTTTGCAAAAAATTGCTCTAGTCAATCATCTGTTCATGCAATTATTGGGGCATCTGAATCATCCTCAACTATAGCAATGCTGCAAATTTTGGGAGTCTTTCAAATACCAGTGGTAAAAACGTTAGATATTTGTTATATTTAGAAATACTCTGTCGCATAAAACAATATTTTACAGTTCTAGCGTCACTTTTGCTGAAAAGTTTATGATAAAGATGTCAACTTGTGAGCTAGTTGAGTTCAAACATGCATGCTTGTCTGTTTTTCTTTCTTTTCTGACAGATCAGCCACTTTGCCACATGTGCTTGTCTCAGTAACAGAAAGGAGTACCCCTCCTTCTTCAGAACCATTCCCAGTGACTACTACCAAAGCAGAGCACTGGCTAAACTGGTGAAGCACTTCGGATGGACGTGGGTCGGTGCAGTGAGAAGTAACAACGACTACGGTAACAATGGGATGGCAACATTTATTACAGCCGCGGGTCAGGAGGGGATCTGTGTTGAGTACTCTGAGGCCATCTCAAGGACTGGTTCTACGGAGCAGCTTCAGAAGACGGTCAGAGTGATCCGTGGAGGAACATCACATGTTTTAGTCGCCTTTCTAGCTCAAGGAGAGATGGATGTTCTGCTTGAGGAAGCTCTGAGGCAGAACCTGACTGGGCTGCAGTGGGTGGGCAGTGAATCCTGGATTACTTCGAGTCACTTGGCTGACCAGAGATACTCCGGTCTCCTAACAGGGTCGTTGGGCTTTGCAATAAGAAAGGCTAAAATCGAAGGCCTGAAAGAGTTTCTTTTACAGGTTAAACCAAGCCAGGACCCCCAGAGCAACATGTTGAAAGACTTCTGGGAAACAACCTTTGGTTGTAGTTTTCAGTCCGGTTTACGTGGAACAGAACAGTGTTCTGGTTCTGAGAGACTCCAGGACATAAACAACGTTTTCACTGACGTTTCAGCACTCCGGATATCTAACAATGTGTATAAGGCTGTGTACGCTGTTGCTCATGCCATGCACAGCATGTTCAAATGTGGGCAAAATGGTGAATCAATGAATCACTCTCGCATTTTAGCCGATGACATGGAGCCAACACAGGTAGGAGGAAACTTAAAAAATGTACAGATTTTTTGTTTCATTTCAGAATCAAGTGATTTACCAGTGGTTTGCACTGTTAGCTTGTGAAACACCTCCAGGATGTTAATTTCACGCTCCAGTCAGGAGAGAGAGTGCATTTTAATGAAAATGGAGACCCTGCAGCAACGTATGAGCTTGTGAACTGGCAGAGAAACCCAGCAGGAGAGACTGTGTTCATGACTGTAGGGAGCTACGATGCTTCACTACCAAATGGAAAACAGTTTACCATGAATGGAGTTAATATAACATGGGCAGGGACATCTTGGGAGGTAACACTTCAAATGTGTAAAATATTATCTCTGGTGGTTCAGATTCAGTGGATGCCAAAATGCAGATAAATTTACGACATAATAAAAAAATCCATGAATTTTATTTATTAAACAATGAAAAAGGTTCATGTAAACAATTAATTGTACATTTTTATATTTAGTAGATAAAATAATTTATTGATTGACCTTTTTGTCCTCTGAAGCAGTTAAACCAATGACGATTGATCTTAAATAAAAAATAAAACACTTCCTAATAGTTAAATATTTATTCACACAGAGAATCAGCTAACTGACTGAACTTTGTTCATGTTGCAGAGGCCGTTGTCTGTCTGCAGTGAGAGTTGTCTGCCAGGCTTCCGACAGGCGACGATTAAAGGCAAACCGATCTGCTGCTTCTCCTGTGTCACCTGCACTGCTGGAGAGATCAGCAACTCCACCAGTCAGTAGACCAATTAGTGCCATTAATCCTGTTATTGGTTAAGAATGAAACAAGCATTCCAATCTTGATTTAAAATTCAAGCAAACCTCTGCACAACACAAACACACAATTTTCCTGTTTTTCCATCAGATTCTGCAGAATGTTCACGGTGTCCATCAGACTTCTGGTCCAACGATGACCACAGCAAATGTGTCCCAAAGGCGGTCGAGTTCCTTTCCTACGGAGAGACGATGGGGGATCTTCTCGCTGCTTTCTCCTTGTTTGGAGCCAGTTTAACACTGGTGGTCTCTTTGGTTTTCTTATGGTTTCGCCACACTCCTCTAGTCAAAGCCAATAACTCTGAGCTGAGCTTCCTGCTACTCTTCTCCTTGACTCTGTGTTTCCTGTGCTCTTTAGCTTTCATTGGACAGCCCACTGAGTGGTCCTGCATGCTGCGCCACACAGCTTTCGGCATCACGTTTGCTTTATGTATTTCATGTATTTTAGCTAAAACCATAACCGTAGTGATGGCCTTTAGAGCTAAAAGGCCAGCAAACCCCGTTCCTCAGTGTTCTGCTCCTCTCCAGAGAACAAGCGTTCTTGTTTGTACTTCACTTCAGGTTCTGATTTGTGTGTTATGGTTAGTGCACGCTCCACCATTTCCCCTCAGAAACGCACTTCACACTAACAAAAGGATCATTCTAGAGTGTGATTTAGGCTCACCTGTAGCATTTTGGGTAGTGTTGGGATATATAGGATTCCTGGCTTTTCTTTGCTTTATTCTTGCTTTTCTGGCTCGAAAGCTGCCTGATAATTTTAATGAAGCTAAATGCATCACCTTCAGCATGCTGATATTCAGTGCAGTCTGGGTGACGTTTATCCCAGCTTATATAAGCTCTCCTGGGAAATTTACTACAGCTGTAGAAGTGTTTGCTATTCTGGCCTCAAGCTTTGGGTTGCTTTTCTGTATTTTTGCCCCAAAGTGTTACATTCTACTACTGAAACCTGACAGGAATACTAGAAACTACATAATGAGAAGAAACCAGTCAAAAGCATCATAAACCTACACTGTCCCTAGGAATTTGGGGTTATTAATTTAAGTTTAAAGCCTAATATAAACTACACGTCAAAACTGGACATGAAACCTTTTCTGTCAGTTCTGAATCATCGAAACGGTAGTCAGAGTTGAGTGGAGGAGTCAGTGTTAAGTAAGGGACAGAGAACTACTATGTTCTAAACAATGGCCTAAATTAAGATGGACAAAGCCTCCTTGAATTTTTTTTTAAGATAGGCTATAGGTACGGAAGCATAGAACTGCCAGTGCGGGGGAAAATACAAGAGTAGTATCTCGTAATAACAAAGAAGTTTCTCGTTATAATGTAACAAAAAACTAAGAAATGTTTTTGTGAAAATGAGAAATAGTTTTGTACTGTGTTGTAATGTAGCCAACAGGTCATTTATCTTTTATTTATTTTTATTTTTTTGCTAAGCCTGTCCCGTAGGCCAAATGCTAAATGAACTGAGCGCTGTTCAGCACCAACAGATAGGCTGGACATTTGTCTCCGTAAGTTCTTGAGGACGTACCTTGACAGATGAAGGGTTGGTGAACTTTCTCATGTAAATGTCTTTAAAAAAACACATAAAAAACATAAATAAATATATATATATATATATATAAATTATATATATATATATATATATATATATATATATAAACAACATGAAATAAGAATAATACTAATAAAAGAATGTGTTTTAGCTCTGTTTGCCAGCTAGAGGTGCACATTCATGAACGAGAGGCGTGGTTTTTATATGGAAAAATGGAAAAGTTGCTGCTTAAGCTTTTATAACAGCAATTTGGAAATACTCTAGAATGTTATGAAGCATGATCAGATGGATTGCATAGTCCTTCTTTGCCATGGAAATGAACTTCATCCCCCCAAAAACTTTCCACTGCATTTTATTGCTGTCGTTAAAGGACCTGCTGAGTTCAATTCAGTAATCATCTTGGTGAGAATGTTGACGAGCACAAGGCTGGAGATCATTATGTCAGGCTGATTGGGTTAGAATGGCAGACTTGACTTGCTAAAAGGAGGGTGATGCTTGAAATCACTGTTCTTCCATTGGTAACCACGGTGAGCTGCAAAGAAACACATGCAGCCATCATTGCGTTGCATAAAAATAGCTTCACAGGCAAGGATATTGTGGCTACTAACATTACATTTAAATCAGCAAATTATAGGATGGTCAAGAACATCAAAGAAAGAGGTTCAATTGTTAAGAAGGCTTCAAGGCGTCCAAGAATGTCCAGCAAGCACCAGGATCGTCTCCTAACGAGGATCGGAGTGCCACCAGTGCAGAGCCTGCTCAGGAATGGCAGCAGGCAGGTGCGAGCGCATCTGCATGCACAGTGAGACAAAGACTTTTGGAAGATAGCCTGGTGTCAAGAAGGGCAGCAAATAAGCCAATTCTCTCCAAAAACACATCAGGGACAGATTGATCTACTGCAAAAAGTATGGCGAATGGATTGCTGAGGATAGGGAAAAGTCATATTCTTTGATGAAGCTCCTTTCCGATTGTTTGGGGCATCTAGAAAAAAGCTTATCCGGAGAAGACAAGGTGAGCGCTACCATCAGTCCTGTGTCATGCCAACAGTAAGCATCCTGAGACCATTCATGGGTGGGGTTGCTTCTCATCCAAGGGAGTGGGTTCACTCACAATTTTGCCCAAAAACACAGCCACGAATAAAGAATGGTACCAAAACACCCTCCGACAGCAACTTCTTCCAACAATCCGACAGCAGTTTGGTGAAGAATTATGCATTTACCAGCATGATGGAGCACCGTGCCATAAGGCAAAAGTGATAACTCAGTGGCTCGGGGACCAAAATGTTGAAATTTTGGGTCCATGGCCTGGAAACTCTCCAGATCTTAATCCCATTGAGAACTTGTCGTCAATTCTCAAGAGGCGGGTGGACAAGCAAAAACCCACTAATTCTGACAAACTCCGAGAAGTGATTATGAAAGAATGGGTTGCTATCAGTGAGGATTTGGCCCAGACGTTGATTGAGCGCATGCCCAGTTGAATTGCAGAGGTCCTGAAAAAGAAGGGCAAACACTGCAAATACTGACTCTTTGCATAGAGTAAATGTCATGTCATTGTTGATAAAAGCTGTTGAACGATGTGAAGGGCTTTCATTTCAGTAGATCACAGAAAGAAAGATCTAAAACCAGTTTAGCAACACACTTTGTGAAAACTAATATTTGTGTAATTCTCAAAACTTTGGCCACGACTGTAGATGTGTTGGGTTTCAGGTTGTTGCTGTTGTAGCAGAATGCATACACACTTAAAATGTGCAATTCATGTGCTGCTTCTTTGAAATTTGGTTTAATTTTTAAACATTCAAGAATAAAGATTGAAGATCTTTTATTGTCATTGCACAGGTGAACGACAAAACGGACTTAAACATAACCTCAGAATTAAAAGTGAGTGAACTTGGTAGTAGATGCAGTAATAATAAAAATTGACAACCACCTGTTTAATAGAGCAACATTTTTAATATATTAAAATATACCTCTGTTATATGAAAGAAATAGTGTCACCAGAGTATGACTTTTTTAGACATTGCATTTATTACATTGAACTGATGCCGAATTTCAGCTGCAAAAATTCAACATGAGAAATTCAACAGCAAAATTCAACAAATGAAATGACCTCCTGGTGACCCCAGCCAAAGTAATCATCACTCGATGGAGTTGAGTGGCTTTAAGCCAGTCAAATCACATCTTCTTGATCCCATGACACCAATGAGGTGTCAACTCGAGTGATGACTGCATGGCTTGGGTCGCCAGGAGGTCACTCTGTTTTTTCTGAGAACTTAAATTCTGCAGTAAAATTCTTGCTGATGAAATTTTTACATTAAATCTGTCGTAACACTTTACAATAAAGTACGCACAGTTGTGCTTTGTTACTAGGGAATGCCTTGGGGGCTAATGAGTAATGAAGCAGGGAAGAATAAGTAGTTTTAGGGTGTTTTTACATGTTGATATCAAGGTTTATAAATGTAAAAGTAAATGTTTGTGTATTTTTTTTTTGATTATTTAAAAAAGTACCCTAAACATTGAACATTTTGTTAGTGATTGATTTGAGCCAGGTAATACTGTAACCTGCAGGATTTTGGTCACCCATCTCTGGAGTGTTAAAACACACAAGATGAAAGAAAATGATGTGTGAATAAGCTCAATGTCTTTATGGTTAATGGCCATGTAAAAACATAAGTAATGGTTAAGTACTGAGTAAGTACAGATTAGTTCCTGGGTAGGTACTTGGGAGGAGCCTTAACTTTCCATCATCTCCAGACAAATGGACGCCAACGATGGACAACGAAGTGACAGACGAGTGAAATCAAAATGAAACAGGGATGTTAAATCACTGTGATGTTGCAAATTATCTGCATCCTTCATGAAGTTTACAAAAGAGAGTCTACAGGCACTTCATTCATCTGGGATTCATTCCTTATTGCTTTAATAGATAACCACCTATTAGTCCCTGAAAAAACTCCTGGGTGTTTACCAGTAAGTACTGGTTAACTATCTATTAGTCTCTAGAAAGACTGATGAGCATTTTCACCAGTAATTACTCGTTAACTATTCTTCCCTGCTTCATTACTCATTACCCCCTAAAGCCGGGCGGACACTGTGCGACCTTTTCACTCGTAGCACTCAGCTTCAGCTCAAACTGTACGACTTCCTCGCAGGGCAGATCTCACGAGTCATGTGCTCACACTGTACGACCCAGTTCTCAGACGCGACCTGACTGCTCACACTGTACGTCTGGTAGCAACACATCGGACCTATGCTAAAAATAGCAGTTTTTACACAACACGTCAGTCTTTTTTGTCTTGCCTGTTGTCCTTCAGGAGTGCTGCAGGGGGACACACAGGGATTTATGGGGGTTGGATGAGGAAAACGAAATAAAGAAAGTAAATCTGTGTTTTGTGATCAGCTTAATTTGACAAGAACACGACAAACACGCTTTCTTGACAATCTTTGTGAGTAAAAAAACGTGTAGAAATTAAAACGAACAACGTGTTATTAGGGAAATAGCGGGCGAGCGGCGTTGATGCAGGATTGCGCATGCGCCGTGAGCGTTTCTGGTACTTTTTGGGTCGCAGCTGCTCGCAGCGCCGCTTCAACGGTGGGATACCCTCACGAGGGACGAGCGAAATATCAAACACGCCAGAAGTCCGTGCGAGCTCACGATTGCTGATTGGTAGCTGGTCGCGTGGTGTTAATCGCTTCTCGTAACCCCCTGTACACTACACGATGCTCAGCGGAAAACTCGCCCCGATCTTGTGGATTCTCACACGGGTAGATTATCGGCTCAAAAAAGTGTAAAAGTCGCACAGTGTACGCCCGGCTTAAGCCGTTCCCTAGTAACGAAGCACAATTTTGCATAGTAAAGTGTTACCTACAGGGTAACAATTCAATGTCATAAATCCAATGTCTAAATAAAACCATATTCTGGTGAGACTGTATTTCTTCCAAATATAGTTTAATTGTTTACATGAAATTATGATTAGATCACGTCTTTAAATGCCCAACTGTAAACTTTAAATGGAATATTTGTGCTTTTCATATATTTATAAAAAGCCTTTTGCTGCATTAAAAATAATCAAATTGATACATTTGTAATAAAAGCTCATTTTGCACTTGTAGCTATTGCATCCAGTTGAAAGTTATTGATGTGATGGAGTGAAGGGAGATTGCAACGTAACAAGTATGCGATTAGATGAACTGCATCATCATCACATGCTGAAGTATAAAGCCTGAGAGCAGACATGTTTTAGTCAGAGCAGAAAATTATAGATTTGAGTTCATGTGTGCCTTAAAAACAATGTGTGACTGGATCTGTGTTATTTTGTTGTTTGTGGTTATTTTGGGGGAATCAGAACAGGATGATGTTGTCTGTGAGATGCTGGGGAGCCCAGAGTTCCCTCTCATGTCTAAGAAAGGAGATGTTGTCATTGGAGGAGCTTTTTCTATTCACAGTCACATTTCAGAGCCTTCACTCTCCTCAGCGGACGCGCCAGGTCTTCCCATATGTTCCAGGTATTTATCTCTTCTGTTCACAGTGTAATAACATTTGAAATTGAAGATTGTATTCATAAAATTAGGAATTGCTTCCATTTTCAGGCTAAACTTAAGAGAATTTCGTTTTGCTCAAACATTGATATTTGCCACCGAGGAGATCAACAATAGCAGCTCTCTGCTACCAAATATCTCGGTGGGTTATAAGATTTTTGACAACTGTGCATCATCATTACCCACAACACGTTCAGCAATGGGGCTCATAAATGGACACAAGAAGAAACTGGGCCAAACTTGCTCGGGCCAGTCATCTGTTCATGCCATCATTGGAACGTCTGAGTCATCCACAACGATTGCAATGCTAAAAATGTTATCCGTTTTCAAAATACCACTGGTAAGTTGAAGTAGAATTGTAAATTGGCGTTCACACTGTCAGCAGATGAACTGCATGATAAATTATTAGCTCAAATTCTGATAATACAAATGTTGGTTACGTGCATGATGTCATTTCTGTGCAAAGGTCTGTGCTCTTCATGTCTGCTTTTCTTTTCTGACAGATCAGCCACTTTGCCACATGTGCTTGTCTCAGTAACAGAAAGGAGTACCCCTCCTTCTTCAGAACCATTCCCAGTGACTACTACCAAAGCAGAGCACTGGCTAAACTGGTGAAGCACTTTGGATGGACGTGGGTCGGTGCAGTGAGAAGTAACAACGACTACGGTAACAATGGGATGGCAACATTTATTACAGCCGCGGGTCAGGAGGGGATCTGTGTTGAGTACTCTGAGGCCATCTCAAGGACTGGTTCTACGGAGCAGCTTCAGAAGACGGTCAGAGTGATCCGTGGAGGAACATCACATGTTTTAGTCGCCTTTCTTGCTTATGATGAGATGGATGTTCTGCTTGAGGAAGCTCTGAGGCAGAACCTGACTGGGCTGCAGTGGGTGGGCAGTGAATCCTGGATTACTTCGAGTCATTTGGCTGACCAGAGATACTCCGGTCTCCTAACAGGGTCGTTGGGCTTTGCAATAAGAAAGGCTAAAATCGAAGGCCTGAAAGAGTTTCTTTTACAGGTTAAACCAAGCCAGGACCCCCAGAGCAACGTGTTGAAAGACTTCTGGGAAACAACCTTTGGTTGTAGTTTTCAGTCCGGTTTACGTGGAACAGAACAGTGTTCTGGTTCTGAGAGACTCCAGGACATAAACAACGTTTTCACTGACGTTTCAGCACTCCGGATATCTAACAATGTGTATAAGGCTGTGTACGCTGTTGCTCATGCCATGCACAGCATGTTCAAATGTGGGCAAAATGGTGAATCAATGAATCACTCTCGCATTTTAGCCGATGACATGGAGCCAACACAGGTAGGAGGAAACTTAGAAAATGTACAGATTTTTAGTTTCATTTCAGAATCAAGTGATTTACCAGTGGTTTGCACTGTTAGCTTGTGAAACACCTCCAGGATGTTAATTTCACGCTCCAGTCAGGAGAGAGAGTGCATTTTAATGAAAATGGAGACCCTGCAGCAACGTATGAGCTTGTGAACTGGCAGAGAAACCCAGCAGGAGAGACTGTGTTCATGACTGTAGGGAGCTACGATGCTTCACTACCAAATGGAAAACAGTTTACCATGAATGGAGTAAATATAACATGGGCAGGGACATCTTGGGAGGTAACACTGGATTTGTGAATTAAAACATTATTTCGGTGCAATGATACATTTCTGGGAGAACCTTTACTCTAAAATCATCTGTTATACGATCTCAGTCTGATAAGCGTAACAGAATGACTGTTTGGACTGTATTCATTTTAACTGTATTTGCTGAAATTGTTTGTCATCTTCACATTGAATGTGATTTTCTACGATGGACGTAATTTTGGGGGGGGGGGGGGGGGGTGCACATGTCCCCCCCACTTTTTCCAAAGTCAAGTTTTGACCCCTGCATTTTTTACCATGCCAAAACAATATTACGCTATATTAAATTGACACTGGTTGAGCTCTAGGACCAAGTGGAAAACAACCGCTTGTGTTGAAGCCTGTTTCCCATTAGAGCATACTCTAAAGATACCCCCCCACCCCCACCCCTCCACTTCTAAAGTGAAAATTACGTCCATGTTTTCTACAGATTCCAGTCATGTTTGTTGAAAGCTCCAATTCTGCAATAGCTCATTGAAAAACACATTTCACTTGAATGTGTCATATTGATTCATACAATTAAGCTTTGTTCATGTTGCAGAGGCCGTTGTCTGTCTGCAGTGAGAGTTGTCTGCCAGGCTTCCGACAGGCGACGATTAAAGGCAAACCGATCTGCTGCTTCTCCTGTGTCACCTGCACTGCTGGAGAGATCAGCAACTCCACCAGTCAGTAGACCAAATAGTGCCATTAATCCTGTTATTGGTTAAGAATGAAACAAGCATTCCAATCCTGATTTAAAATTCAAGCAAACCTCTGCACAACACAAACACACAATTTTCCTGTTTTTCCTTCAGATTCTGCAGAATGTTCACGGTGTCCATCAGACTTCTGGTCCAACGATGACCACAGCAAATGTGTCCCAAAGGCGGTCGAGTTCCTTTCCTACGGAGAGACGATGGGGGATCATCTCGCTGCTTTCTCCTTGTTTGGAGCCAGTTTAACACTGGTGGTCTCTTTGGTTTTCTTATGGTTTCGCCACACTCCTCTAGTCAAAGCCAGTAACTCTGAGCTGAGCTTCCTGCTACTCTTCTCCTTGACTCTGTGTTTCCTGTGCTCTTTAGCTTTCATTGGACAGCCCACTGAGTGGTCCTGCATGCTGCGCCACACAGCTTTTGGCATCACGTTTGCTTTATGTATTTCATGTATTTTAGCTAAAACCATAACCGTAGTGATGGCCTTTAGAGCTAAAACGCCAGCAAACACCGTTCCTCAGTGTTCTGCTCCTCTCCAGAGAACAAGCGTTCTTGTCTGTACTTTACTTCAGGTTCTGATTTGTGTGTTATGGTTAGTGCACGCTCCACCGTTTCCCCTCAGAAACGCACTTCACACTAACAAAAGGATCATTCTAGAGTGTGATTTAGGCTCACCTGTAGCATTTTGGGTAGCGTTGGGATATATAGGATTCCTGGCTTTTCTTTGCTTTATTCTTGCTTTTCTGGCTCGAAAGCTGCCTGATAATTTTAATGAAGCTAAATGCATCACCTTCAGCATGCTGATATTCAGTGCAGTCTGGGTGACGTTTATCCCAGCTTATATAAGCTCTCCTGGGAAATTTACTACAGCTGTAGAAGTGTTTGCTATTCTGGCCTCAAGCTTTGGGTTGCTTTTCTGTATTTTTGCCCCAAAGTGTTACATTCTACTACTGAAACCTGAGAGGAATACTAGAAACTACATTATGGGAAGAAACCACATAAATACTCCACAATGAATTTTATTCCTTAAAACTCCAGGTCACATGAATGTGTTTTGTTCTATGGGCAAGATGTTGCAAAATTTTATTTTCTGCAGCGTTTCTATTTGCACCAATATACAGGAAGTTTGACCTAAAATGATTTGTTTCAAACGCATTGTTTATTTATTTATTTGTTTATTTGTTTATGATGTGACATGGAAGCATTTTATGTTGTGGGCTACATAGCTAGGTTGTAACATAAATGGGGGCTCATCCGGGATAATCTTTTGAACCATTGACTGAACCTTGAATTTTTAAGAGCAGGTTCGTTGAAAAAAACATTTTACCTAGTTTATATTTTTTTGAATGATCAGTTGAGTTTGTCAATACAGGCTAAACATGAAAAGAGTAATTTACCCCAATTTCCTGTGTTAGCTTCTCTTTGAAAACCGACAAAAATACGTTCCGTTGACAAAAGTCTGACAGATCTACGTCACACTGTCATTCAGCGTTCATAGACTTACCCACCTTGACTTGCGACAGAAGCTAACTGTTATCATTAGCAACTCCACCACATGGCAGAATTCCTTCAGACTTGTGTTATTTGTGGAGATAAAACATCAGCGTTGCAGAGCAAGCACAGTTAGAGGTGGAGTTGCGTTGCTGTTAACCAATCAGAGGTGACATGTCCAAATATCAGGAAATACGACTAAAATCCTTTTGTCTGAAGCTACTTTCTCCTCCAGATGACTTTTACGACCTGAAACAAGAGCATGTGAACTTTTCCCCAGAGATTGACTTACAAGGCATACATTCTTACAAGAAACCACTGCCAATGCATTACAAAAATGAGTTGACCTATAATTTAATTTTCATCAAGATTGAAACATGTATTTTTGTATCTGTTAGATAAAATAATTGACATTTTATTAAATTAATCAAACATATGTTTAGACACACAATCAGAAATTTCATAAAGCAAGTAAATCACATTCAAGTACCTTCTGTTTTTGGTAAAAGCAGAGATTAAACAAACACAATGAGCCTCATAGGCCTATTCACCTGTCAGTCATGCCATGAGCAATATCACTGGTAGAGGAGAAAAAATAATTAAAAAAAATACTAATGAGCCCCTCTGGCTTGGTTGAGGTAACTGTTATATACTGCAGGGAGTTTAGGGATATTACAGTTAGGATTTACATAGTGAACAATAAGGTCAGAAACTATGCTGCTTGTATGCCATCTACTGTTATTTTTGCTTTCAAATATGAAAGGAGGGAAATCTGTGTGTCAAACATATGGAACTGAAAAATTATCTCAGTTTTCTAAGGAGGGCGACATCATCATTGGAGGCATTTTGCCCTTCCACCAATATCCAGTCATGCTTAATCAAACCTTCAGAGTCAACCCAGGAGCAATCCAGTGTGATGGGTAAGAAAAGGATGAAAAATTTTGCATGCAAAAAGTGTTGTTTTTTCCACATGTGAACTGTAGCTCAAAGTGTTTGTAATATTTCATAATTTTTACAGACTGGAAATAAGTGAGCTTCAGTATGCCCACACGATGATGTTTGTGATAGAGGAAATCAACAACAGCTCGGAGCTGCTTCCCAACGTGACGCTCGGATACAGGATCTTTGATTCATGCCCCAACACCCCTCTTTCCATCAAAGCGTCGTTAAATCTGATGAATGCCTTTCGAAGCACAGATGGGTTTTGTGACAAACTCTCCAGTGTGCATGCTGTCATTGGGGAAACGACTTCCACCTCAACGATAGGTATTGCACGAACAATGGGGCCCTTTCATATACCTGTGGTGAGTGCTATAGGCATGCTCTAAATACAAACAAAAGGAAATCCATGTTGGTGAAATTACATATGCAAACATTTATCTCATACAACTTATTTTTTCCTCAAGATCAGTCATTCAGCCACGTGTGCATGCCTCAGCAACAGACAAGAGTACCCTTCGTTCTTCAGAACCATACCTAGCGACGTATATCAAAGCACAGCACTAGCAAAGCTTGTGAAACATTTTGGCTGGACCTGGGTGGGAGCTGTCAGGTCTAACAGTGATTACGGAAATGATGGCATGGCTGTTTTCTTGGAAGCAGCAAAAAAAGAAGGTGTATGTGTCGAATATTCAGTGGCTGTTGACCGAACCAATTCCAAAAAGTGGTTTCTAGAAGTGGTGGATGTTATAAAACAGTCCACTTCTAAGGTAATAGTTGCGTTTGCTGATGGCCCAGACCTTGATATACTCATCAAAGAGCTTCATGCTCAGAACGTTACGGGCCTGCAGTGGGTAGGAAGTGAGGGGTGGATAACATATCGTTACTTTGCCACTGACGTTCACTATGCCATTGTTAAAGGAGCTGTGTGCTTTGCATCCATGAATGCCCACATCCCTGGGCTGAAGGAGTTTCTAGCTAACAGCAGGCCTTCCACCACACCGGGTAATCAGGGACTTGTCAAGCTATGGGAGACTCTATTTCGATGCACGTTCCCTCCCCAAACAAACATGAATGTGAAGGATCGTGTTGCAGCCTGCAGTGGGAAAGAGACTCTGTGGGATGTAAACACACAATTTACTGATGTATCAGATGCCAGCTTGATGAATAATGTCTACAAGGCCACATATGCTGTCGCTCACGCTCTGGAGATGCTGTTTAGTTGTGAAGATGGACAGGGGCCTTTTGAGAACAGTACATGTGCTGATAAGGAAAAAGTGCAGCCATGGGAGGTAAAAGTAGAAAACGTTGTTCTTGAAATGCCACAATAAATTCTATAGTCCAATAAAACCATTATTTCCTTGCAGGTGCTCCATTACCTAACACAAGTAAATTTTACCACAAAAACTGGTGAAAGGGTGTTCTTTGATGAGTCTGGTGGTCCAGTGGCACACTATGCACTCATTAACTGCCGGAAGGATCAAACTGGGTACATACAATTCAAAACTATAGGTCACTATGATGCTTCTCAGCCAGAAGGTCACCAGTTTCAGATGAATGAAGAGGTACAGCCTGTCTGGGCCGATGAAAATACTGAGGTGAGTCATCTCAAAATGTTGTAATTTCATTGCCAGTTGTCTTTTTTGTTTAACCATGAAACAATATTTTACTATTCTAATGTTTTTAATTTATGATTGTGCAATAACTGTTACCTCTGTGACTTAGGTGCCAAGATCTGTTTGCAGTGAGAGCTGTTTACCAGGGACTCGCCGGGCTTTCATTAAGGGAAAACCTATCTGCTGCTTTGATTGCATTACCTGTGCTGATGGGGAGTTCAGCAACAGCACAAGTGAGACAGCAGGATTCCTAGTCTTTGGCCTTGTGCTCATTGTGTTTCTGCTGGGTAGAATCACTGCCAGCAGTTTACTGGTTTATCTGAAGATGTCCACCATGTGCAGCTTAAATGTATTTATGCTTTCAGATGCAGTGAAATGTGACACATGTCCTCCTGATTACAAATCCAATTTGGAGAGGACTGATTGTGAAATGAAAGCTATTGAGTTCCTCACCTTCACAGAATTCATGGGAATGCTGTTTGTGAGCCTCTCTGTCTTTGGTGCTTGCTTGGCGGCGGCCGTGGCCTTGATATTTTTCCTCTTCAGACAAACTCCGATAGTCAGAGCAAACAACTCAGAACTGAGTTTCCTGCTGCTGTTCTCCCTGAGTCTCTGTTTTCTCTGCTCCCTGACCTTCATCGGTCGACCTTCTGAGTGGTCCTGCAAGCTGCGACACACAGCTTTTGGCATCATCTTCGTCCTCTGCATGTCCTGTGTTCTGGGGAAGACAACAGTGGTTTTGATGGCCTTCAGGGCTACATTACCTGGCAGTAATGTGATGAAGTGGTTTGGACCCACAAAGCAGAGACTCAGTGTTGTAGCTTTCACTCTTGTGCAGCTTTTAATTTGCACACTTTGGCTAACAGTCAGCCCTCCATTTCCATACAAAAATTCTAAATATTACACAGAAAAGATTATTCTAGAATGTGCTCTGGGATCAGCTGCAGGGTTCTGGGCTGTGCTGGGATACATCGGGGTTTTAGCTCTGTTGTGTTTTGGACTTGCGTTTTTGGCACGAAAGCTCCCGGACAACTTTAACGAGGCGAAGTTTATCACTTTCAGCATGTTGATATTCTGTGCCGTGTGGATCTCCTTCATCCCAGCTTATGTCAGCTCTCCTGGAAAATTCAGTGTGGCTGTGGAGATTTTTGCTATTCTGGCTTCCAGTTATGGACTGCTGTGTTGCATATTTTTTCCCAAGTGCTACATCATCTTAGTAAAACCTGAGAAAAATACAAAAAAATATATGATGAGCAGAGGGACCATGAGAGCGATCTGAAAATGTTCATAAAACACCATCATACATTTTTATTAATGGGTTATTTAGCCATGAATCAATTTGTTATGTATTAAAATCTATTTACAGTGTCAGTTTGTCAAATATTTGGCTGATGTCACATTGTCATGTTTGTCCTAATTTTTATGAATAAGTGCATGTAATCTTCTCTCATCTACGTTTGAGAAGTGATATTTTAATAAAAGTCTGAAGTTGTACTTTTTGTTGAAGTCATTTTTTGTGAGTGCGCGATGAATCCCAAACATAAAGAATAAGGTTTAAATAAATAACTGAAAGCCAGAAACTAAGTACAATAAAAATGGCTACATACACAGAATAAAAATGGAATTAAAAGCATCATGTAAGTAATAAATACGATACTCAAAACAGGGTCACTAATGGGCATTAACAGAAGTGACAAGAGGTGCAAAAAATGTCTATCTTAGAATTGTTGTATTGAGGGAGCCAGTTTAACCTCGAGAGGACGTTGGTTCCTGGGTTAAGGGGCAAAACTCGAAAAGGCACATCATCACCCCTGGCTTTCTCTTTTTTCCTCGAATACCAAGAAATCATGATTGACTAATCGAAGAGGTCTTGAGAGACATGCTTGGAAAGAAAATTGAGAAGTATGCAAGAGCGGTCCTAGCAAGAGCCTTCTAGACCTGAACCAGGGTCTGGCCATGGATCCAAAGCTCCATGGGAAGCCAGTGCAGAGATCAGAATAGATGTGATCCCATCTCTTTGATCCAGAAAAAATCTAGCTGCTGATTTTTAAACCAATTGCAGCCTCATCACAGATTCACTAGGTCCGGCATATAGAGTTGCAATAGTCCAGTACTGACAAAACGCAGACATGCATTACAGATTGTAGATTAACTATGGACACGGACACTGACTTAATCACTGACAAGCGCCAGAGCTGGACGTAACAAGACCTAGTCACTGCATTAATTAGAGCATTCATCTTTAGTGTTGTGTCCAGTTTTACCATCCAAATCAGTAACATCTGATTTTTCACAAAGAGTCAATGACTAGGTCTTTGGGCACTATAAGCATACAACAGCTGCATATTTAAAGGGACTATATTATGCAAAATCCACCCTTTAGAGCTTTTTTCATATTTCCTCATGAAAACACACACCCAAAGACGTTTTGGCTTCACATGTGCATTTCCCTGTCTCAGTTGCTTCTTCCCTTCAACTCTACATTTTTTGCTAGGCTACTGCATGCTGTTGGATGTAGTTGTTTCTATGTCACAATGGCCCACTCCTCCCAAGCCAAGTAGTCTCAAATCTACATCCCTCTTTCCCGGGACTGTAAACACTAACACCTAGTCTCTCTATGTAGCAAGCAGAGAGTCTTCCTCACAGTTAGGGTGCCACCTTTTAGAAATGAAAATCAAGGGATGCCCCCCCACAGCTTCTCAGGGCCATGTCCATCATGGCCCAAGTCTCCGGATTCTCGTGTAGTGGGAGACTGTGTTGGTTTTGACAAGAAATGTTAATTTATTTTTAGTCTTTGTCTTTTTTGACAAAAATAATTTAATTTTAGTCACAATTTTGTTGTCTAATTTGTTTTAATTTTAGTCTTATTTTAGTCTTCTAAAATATACAGTATGTCATTTCTTCTGATGCATAAATTTTAATTTTCTGTAAAGGAAATGTTAACTGCACTTGAGACTGTGAAACATTATGAAAAAAAATCACAATTCACACTTTGGACTAATAAAACTCTATTTATAATGGTTATAAAGGTGTGGCTAACTGAGAACCCAATTTTAATGATTGATGGTGATCTGATAGCAAATAGATGGTGAAAATTTAGGATTTGAAAAGCCTGACAGATCCACGAGACGGCGGTGACACAGGAGTTAAGCACTCACCCCGTAATTGGAAGGTTGCAGGTTTGAGTTTCCCTCAGTCTGGTGCTGTTGTTGTGTCTTTGGGCAAGACACTTAACCCACCTTGCCTGCTGGTGGTGGTCGGAGGGACCGGTGTACGGCAGACTCACCTCTGCCAGTGTGCCCCAGGGCAGCTGTGGCTACAATGTAGCTCATCTCCACCAGGGTGTGAATGTGTATGTAAATGGGTGAATGACTGATTATATTGAAAAGTGCCTTGGGGGTTCCAGGGCTCTAGAAGGCGCTTTATCAAAATACAGACCATTTACCATTTACCTACATCACATAACATTCATGGACTCACTGACCTTGACTTCACGGGGAAGGCTGTTTTAGCATTAGAGATGGCAGTGAATGTCCAGACTAGGTTATGGTTAGCATTAGCAACTTAACCACATGCCAGAAGCTCCTCCAGGTTTGAGTTATTTGTGGAGATAAAACATCTCAGATTTTCAGATTTCAGATTGATTGGCCAAGTAAAAGTACATTTACAAGGAATTTGTCTTCGGTAGATGTTCGCTCTCTAAAACATACAACAACCACAATAAATGAGAATAAAAATACCTAAAAACACATAAGAACATGTATACCCGCACACATGTTCATTTACACACACATATATACATATATACACACCCAAGTATTGCAAGTCAATGTTAGTTGCGCTGCTGCTATTCAATCCAAGGCGAGATGTCCAAATATCAGGAAATGAAACTTCAAATCCTGTCATCTGAAGGTCAGCTGTGATGTGGGTGACTGTAGATCCTAGAAAGGGTGCACCGGTGTACACAAAGGGTGTCGTAGACTCAACAGATTGCGTTGGATGGATTTATAAACAAATATCTAGCTTACCAAACATACAGTCAAATTAATTTTACAACCCAGACTCCACAAACTTTTTCAGATACTTAAAAAAGGCTTTGCTAAAACATCTAGCTTCCATTCCAGCATTCCACACATCACAATAAATCACTTCATATCTGTAGAGACATGAATGGCCTCATATTTGTGACCCAAAGGTCACACTTCCCCTGCTAGGTCGAGCTGGGTCAAGCTGTAACTTTTGTTCCACAGATTATCCATCACAGGAGCCGTGCAGTCTGCTGAACACCATCTTTTATCTGTGCTGTTCCTTCGCAAGATGAAGGACACTTCAAGATTTAAAAATAATCATTTTTAATAAACTCTTTTTACTGTTTATTACAAGGTTTATTATAATCATCATAAATAATCATCATGGTTCAGTATAAATGTATTTAATTACTGAAATGACTAATTATTCTTTGGGTTAATAATAATTATTATTTATGATAATCAGTATTGTTTGACAGTGTGAAGGATGTCATTTGCACGTGTACACATCATGCAGAACTGAATCCAGGGTAAAGGTAACCACCTCACATGTCTTTGCTCCAAAACAACAAGCTTTCTGATGCTGAGAGGGCGTGTTCTGAGGTTTTGTTAAAATCAAAAACTCTTCAGTTCAACTCCAGTTCTTGAACCAAGCAGATAATCTCCATGGTGACGAGAGTACCAGAGGACGAGGGTCGGCCTCCTGAACTCCTCAGACTTACGGTTGGTAACTCTGAGCAAGTGGGAACACCGTGTTCACCACCTAGTTCAGAACTTTTGCCACCACAGAAACTCAGCTTTGAAACTCGACTTCCGCCAGAGAACTTCCTTAACGGCCATCTCGACAACTTGACAGACCCACTTGCCGCTCAGGGTGAGAAGGTGGACGCATCATGGGCCCTAAAACCCTTGTGGCCACCTGACGCGTACAGCTTTCAGCCACCTGATGGGTTTGTGTCGGTTCAATTTGCCTTTTCTCTAAATGACCTTGTCAGTCTTCAGGTCCAGCATCCTGCTGTCAGCAGGATGATCTTGCACCCTTCTGAGCCAAAAGCCTCACTAAGCTGTTCTGTCACGCCGATAGAATTGCTCCGAATAAACACACCTGTAACCAGCTGACCAAAACTCCTTCAGAGTTATTGATTTTGAGATGCAGCTAGTTTCATCAGTCGTTGTGACCCGGAGACATCTCAGGACCGATTTGAGTCGCACCGAGGTCCTTCTACCAACCTCCTGCCAGGAGGACACCATCTCCACCTGACATCTCGGATCCACCAGAGGGTCTCCTGAACTGGGTGAGGTAGACACTTTCCGACAGATGGCGTCTGTATGCTGTTAGCTCTAAGAAACAACTCAGTTAGTTGCAAAACAACTTTTTCCACCCAGAACGCATTTCTCTCTCTGAAAGAAATCTTCTGAGATTCATCCACGCATCCAAACATTGCATTTAATTTTACTTTTCCATTCAGACACAGGTTTGCTTTTAATAACAAGTTTTAATATCAAGCTGTTACAAATTGCCATTTTTAAATAGTCATTTCTAAAATTGTCATCTTTAAATTGTTAGTAATAAATTCTTAACTTTTTAAACTTGACTCTTCTTTGAAATGAAACACAGAATGGTATATATTTGGTTATTGAATAAGCAAAGATTCCTTTAAGCTTCTGATTCAATAAATAAACTTTTGATATTAATTTTAATATCTTAAATAAAAAAAAGAATCTTTGGATTAAATATAGACCAAGCCGGTTGGTGTATGAACTTCTATCGATTACATAAATATCCTAGATATTTATATATGATAGAAGCTTCATTTGTTAACTTGTTTGATCTTTCTCAGAATCTAACAAAGCTGATAGCAAACAGCGTTAATTCTAGTATGTAGATTGTCTACGATACATATCCATTACATTACATATCATCATTCAAACTTTGTCATGTATAATCATTAGTTTAGGGAAATAGAAATAAATTCATTTTTATAAACTATATAAGTGACTCTGTCTGAATTAATATGAAGTGTTTATGGTCCCTGAATAAGTAAAAGTAACTATAATCTTCTGATTAAACATTCAAATATAAATCAGGTCAATATTTCATATTTATGTGGAATTATCACATCTGATTAATCATTTGTTACATATGTAGCCACTCCTTAAAAGGAACCCAGGTTACAAAATCTTGTGGTTCTTAAAAAATGAATGTTAGTATTAGTTATATTAAAATGGTGTAAAAAGCCTTGTTCAATTTTATAAAATTTGTTAAAAATTGTTTAACTCGTAGGTCGACATTGTTGTTAGCATCGCACTGCACTCTGGGTAGTGCCGTCATATGGTTGTATCTTGATTGCACCAGCCGGCTTTGCGACCCTATAGTGACTGTTCAGTGACATCAACATGTCATCTGTTCAACCTTGTCAATTTGAACCAGAGCGAAACATTAA